GAATGTAAAGTTTAAATGGGCCTTTCATGTTATATCATTAAATTTAGTAATACTATTTCTCGGGCATTAGGTTTTAACTCTTATAAGAATATACATATTTTTTTCTGTTAATGTACAAATATTTTTCCGATGTGTTTTGGATATTCCTTCTCTAATAAAAAGAGATACCATTTTGTTTTCGGTTGTACAAGAAAGAAGATCAAGCATTTTTCTTTTTTAAATTTAATAAGCCACATTAAAGAAGGAACGTTGCAATGCTACACGCTACATAACGACGTCTCCAGAGTAACTGAATGACTGTTCATATAGAAATCGCAGGTATGCGTCTCATACAACAACGCCCCCTATAGTTCGTTGCGATCGCGAATTCCTAGTCTCGGTCCAAATTCTTTCATTAAAAAGTAAAAAATCGTTTGACATTTAACTTTTCGAAAGATCCAGCTCAGAGTTTTCTCATGACGTCATTATTCGTCATTTCATAATAATTCTTTTGTCAATAATATTTTAAGAATTCTATCAGAAAAACGAACTACTATTAAAAAAAATGCAAAATCCTAAACAATAAAAAAATATAATTCAATAATTTTTTAAAACTAAGGGAACATTCTTACTGAATCTGGTTAGATCACTCTGCTTAAAATGCACCAAATTCTCAATTTGTAAACTTATGTTGGCCGAAATGGTCCAATGGATTTAAGTCAGGAGGGTTTGATCCTCAAAGCAGCTAATACACCATATACATGCGATGCAATTACGAGTAAAACTTGCGGAATCGAACATCTTCTGGTCTGTCGCTCAGCAGTACCATGGGTACAGGGATCTAGAGAAAATTTCCTTCTTATTCAGATGTATGTCTGAATCTTGGCATACTATTGGTATACCTGGTATACTATTTATTCTGGTGCCAAGGTCTGAATAATAGAAGTGTTCTCACGAATGAGTGGTGCTGCCATCTTAATTCACACTTTCACCCTAGTGATGTTCTCTGTTCAAACGAAAGGTGATCATTCCAGATTATTCGCAAGACCAATAGCCAGTGATCTTGGTTTATTCAAGTGTCACTAAAAACAACGAAGACAATAACTTACGAAAATTTTTATTTTAATGAAAAATTTACAGTAAAAATTACTGTCGATGCAGCATAAGAAAATATTTTTATTAAAAGGGAAAGTTTGTTCTCAAACCATTTTAATTCAACGCAAAATCCTTTGTTTTTAAAAAAATAAGAGGGATGGAATATCTCCACTCTTCTCTTAAGGATAAAATTGGTTACACTTTTTTGACCGTTTCGAACGGTATCATCAGAACATCTTGTAGCAAGCTCCAAGAACTCTACGTCAGAAAACCGACCCAATAAAAGCGAACTGTCACGAAACATTTTAAAAGATATCATTTTAAACTTACTTAAAGAATGAATTTCATTCTGAAACTTACTTTAATAAAAGCAAATTGCATTTAGATGAATTTAATTCATAACTAAGCTCATTATTTCCAATGTGAATAGAGAAATGAGCCTACTATTCAATTGTAGAGATAATTGTTCTGTTATTCTTTTTATGTAAGAAGATCTGAAAGTTTTTTACCCCAAAAGAATAAAAGAGAGCAGCTTATCTCATCAAGGTAAGGAGTTATGTATCAGTTTTAAATTTTTTAACTCTAAATGACATTTATTTCTCTGATTCAGTTAAAACGCAATATTTTCCAGTACCCTAAAACTTTTGAAATCTAAATTTTCCATGAACAAAGAAATTTTACTGAAAATTTATAGAGCGAAAAAATATTTCGAAGTATTAATATTTGATGAACATTTATGACAAAAGTAAAATTTTAAATTATTCGTCGAAAATTAATTATGCAAAATTCATTTTATTATTCAGTGACTTTTATTCATTTTTGTAATTCCAACTTTCAGATTCTTTAATTTCTATTAATACCACATAGATTTTTTTAACTGTTTTTAAAACAATATATTATTTTACGGTACATTGGAAATATTTCCAACTTGAAAACGAGAACTTTATTTAATTTTTTAAAATTATGTTATAAAATATTAGTAGTTATAAGACTTTGTATAACAATGACTATTTTAATCAATTTTATTGTCTTTTTGGGTTTAAAAAAAATAGAATTCCGTCGGAAGATGGCAGCACAAAAAGTATAAAGCTTATATTTAAAAAAAAATCGCAAAGAAGCTTAAACATACTTTAAAACTTATAAAATTGTGTAGATATCAGATGTTATGGAGCTTTACGATGCTCTGGTGCATAGAAATAGAATGAAAATCAGTAACTAGCTCTTAATAGTTGATTGAAAATACAATGACTGAGTTAAATCTCAGTTTATCTGAATGGAATCAGAAATAGGGGATTATGAATATAGTCAAGACATGAGATGACGTAATTGGCGAAACCTTTTTGCTGGATACGTGGGTACGGTGTTTAATTTGATATTTATAATAAATCAAATTGGGCATTTTGAGAAATGCATTCTTTTATTCTAACATATTTATACTTTTTCACAGTTCAAAAAAACACATAAATCTATATAAGGTATTTTTTAAACATTGATGTTCTAAATTTTTTTAAAATTAAGTTTGTAAATTGGATCTTTTTGATGTTTCTTCAGAATAAAAATGTGCGTATATATATATATATA